GTCTGAGTCTATAACAGTCTATAATATAGACAGTCTATAATCTAGACTGTTATAGACTCAGACTCTATAATCGAGGAGCTCTGAACTCTGTGTTTTTGACCCTGGATTGTTGTGAAGATCTGACCTGCAGGATCTTGACTTCGATCACGCCGTCTCCACCGTGAGTCCATGACGTCGTTGATGATCACATGACTGATTTGTTCTGACCTGCTGATCAGACAGAAAGAGGAAGTGTTCGGGTGAAAACATGTTTTTATTGTCTCCAGTTTCACTTCAGCTCGACAGACTAAAGGTCACATGACCTCCGATCAAACGTCTGCTGACGCGTTTCAACCCTGACAGGTCTGACCTTCAGTGAGCTCTTCCCCTCTTCACTGTTGCATTGTGGGATATCAGCCTGTGTTAGTGAGGTTAAAGTGATGAGGCTGAGGGCGTGTCACCGTCACGTTGTCATGGTGATTATGAATGAAGTCATCGTTGTCAGGCTTACCTGGTTTTGGTGATACTGTGAAGGTGTCGTCATGGTGATGTTGCCATGGTTTCAACACCTGCTGTTCTCTGGTGTTCCTCCTCACCTGTGATCATTTCTTTAGACCCAGCTGATCATCTATGCTCCGATCGATCAATATTCAAATCGATGATGTCAGAGGACCCTGATCTCAAGACTGGAGACCTCAGAGACCAGCAGGAGGTCCTCCAGACCGCCGAGTCAGAGACCGGGGACAACGAACGGACCGCATGGATCACCCAGAAGTGTGTGTGTGTGTGTGTGTGTGTGTGTGTGTGTGTGTGTGTGTGTGTGTGTGTGTGTGTGTGTGTGTGTGTGTGTGTGTGTGTGTGTGTGTGTGTGTGTTTGCACGCTACAAAGAACCAACTGTTGAAACAAACAGGATGAGAGGAGGAAGGAACAAGGTGACTCTGCTCTCGACAACTTCCTCATGTTCAACACGCACACACACACTCTGAACACACACACACACACTCTGAACACACACACACACACACACACTGAACACACATACACACACACACTCTGAACACACACACACACTCTGAACACACACACACACTCTCTGAACACACACACACACTCTGAACACACACACACACACTCTGAACACACACACACACACACACTCTTAACACACACACACACACACACACACACTCTGAACACACACACACACACACTCTGAACACACACACACACTCTGAACACACACACTCTGAACACACACACACACTCTGAACTTTATACACACACACACACACTCTGAACAACACACACTCACACTCGTCCATGTCATCAATAAGCTTTATTAACACACACACACACACACACACACACATATATATATATTTAAACACACTTATTGAAGCAGAAACATTTACATTCAGTCTTATTTTGATATCAAAACAAGGACTCTCTATAAACACACATTTCTTATTTTTATATTCAAGCGAGGTCTCTGTGCTCCATCAGACACATGTCCTCAAAGAAAACCCTGCTAGCTTGTGTTAGCATCAGCTAGCATGTGTTAGCATCAGCTAGCATGTGCTAGCATCAGTTAGCATGTGTTAGCAGCACACCTGTATGTCCATGTTCACAAACACACAGCTGACAGGAAGATAAACTACAACAACTTTGGCAGCAAATGAAAACCGTAGGAAACAGAGAGGTCACATGATCTGACTGTGTCCAATAAGAGCAGCTAAAACGAGCTTCACATTAATCTACAGGCAGGTCCTGAAATATCCTGAGAAAGTCCTGGAAATCATTGAAACATTCAAGGCCTGAACGGTTCCAGGTGGTGTGTTTGTGGTTTGTTGTCGTGGGTGAAGTTTGATCGTCCACCTGGAAATAAAAACTCAGACAAACACCTGAGCCTGCAGCGTCCGTCATGAACCAATGAAAACGGTTTCAGGTGTGATGACATCATCACAGGTAAGGCAGCTAAAACAGGAAGTTGTCACTACAGTCTTTACAGTGACAGCGCCTGGGAGGTGTCGCTGTCGGACATGACGCTCACTCGGGTGGAGCTCAGTGGGCTCCTGCACTTCTTACTTGACAGACTCTTGGCGGTCGGACGGCGACCGCAGCAGAAGCACTGCAGCAGCTGCAGGACGTCGCGGCGGAAACGCACTCCGACAAAGACGTAGAGGAAGGGGTTGAGGCAGGCGTGCAGGTAGGCCAGACATTTGAGCACCTGTCCCACCTTATCCAGGTGCTTCATCTCATCACATTCGATTGTGGTGTTGTTGGCCTGCGCCGCCTCCATCACCAGCACGCCGTTGTGGGGCAGCTGTGACACCACAAACACCACCACCACCGCCAGGATGACGCGCATGGCCTTGTGCTTCTGGAAGTTCCTGGTCTTGAGCAGCTTGATGAAGATGACGCTGTAGCAGAAGGCCATGACGATGAAGGGCAGGCAGAAGCCCATGCTCACCTGCAGCGACAGCAGCAGGATCTTGGTGCTCCTGCCCAGGTGAGGCGGGAACACGTTCCTGCAGTACAGCAGCGAGTCCACCTCCGTGGTGTGGGCGTACACCAGGTCAGGTACTGCGAGCAGGACCGCCAAAAGCCACACCCCCATACACACCAGCAGGCTGCAGCGGCGGCGCTCTGCCTGCGAATTGTGCGCTTTGGTTGACTGAACGATGACCACGTAGCGGTCGATGCTGATGCAGGTGAGCAGAAGCATACTGCTGAACAGGTTGACCTTGTAGAGGGCGGAGTTTAGCTTACAGAGCGCCAGGCTGAAGGTCCAGCCATTCAACGCCTCAGCCGCCCACAGAGGCAGCGAAACCAGGAACAGCAGGTCAGCCACCGCCAGGTTCAGCAGGTACACATCTGTCATGGTCTTCAGCCGCCCCCGGACGTACATATAGATCCAGACCACCGCCAGGTTCCCGGCTCCGCCCACCAGAGTGATCATCAGGAAGAACGGCGGCTCAAAGTGTCTCCTGAACAAACGCACCGACCCACGGTCACACATCTGATTGAAGATGTAGTCGTAGTTTTCAGTGTCGGAGGAAGGGTCCTGGAACACAAGACAACACACCTGAGCATTACCTGAGAACACCTGAACACACCTGAGAACACCTGAACACACCTGAACACACCTGAGAACACCTGAGAACACCTGAACACACCTGAGAACACCTGAGAACACCTGAGAACACCTGAGAACACCTGAGAACACCTGAGAACACCTGAGAACACCTGAGAACACCTGAGAACACCTGAACACACCTGAGAACACCTGAACACACCTGAACACACCTGAGCACACCTGAGAACACCTGAACACACCTGAGAACACCTGAACACTCCTGAGAACATCTGAGAACATCTGAGAACATCTGAACACACCTGAGAACACCTGAGAACATCTGAGAACACCTGAACACACCTGAGAACACCTGAACACTCCTGAGAACACCTGAGAACACCTGAGAACACCTGAACACACCTGAGAACACCTGAGAACACACCTGAACACACCTGAAAACACCTGAACACACCTGAGAACACCTGAGAACACCTGAGAACACCTGAACACACCTGAACACACCTGAGAACACCTGAGAACACCTGAACACACCTGAGAACACCTGAACACACCTGAGAACACCTGAGAACATCTGAGAACACCTGAACACACATGAACACACCTGAGAACACCTGAACACACATGAACACACCTGAAAACACCTGAACACACCTGAGAACACCTGAGAACATCTGAGAACACCTGAACACACATGAACACACCTGAAAACACCTGAACACACCTGAGAACACCTGAGAACATCTGAGAACACCTGAACACACATGAACACACCTGAACACACCTGAACACACCTGAGAACACCTGAGAACACCTGAGAACACCTGAGAACACCTGAACACACCTGAGAACACCTGAACACACCTGAACACTCCTGAGAACACCTGAGAACACCTGAACACACCTGAGAACACCTGAACACACCTGAACACACCTGAGAACACCTGAGAACACCTGAACACACCTGAGAACACCTGAGAACACCTGAACACACCTGAGAACACCTGAACACACCTGAGAACACCTGAGAACACCTGAACACACCTGAGAACACCTGAGAACACCTGAACACACCTGAGAACACCTGAGAACACCTGAACACACCTGAGAACACCTGAACACACCTGAGAACACCAGAGAACACCTGAACACTCCTGAGAACACCTGAGAACACCTGAACACATCTGAGAACACCTGATTACCTTTAACTTGAACAGTTGACTGATTGTTCTTTACTCATAACTCATAATCAATACTTGGTCACTGATAACAGATTATTGATATCATAGCACTGGTAACTTTCTACTGGTTACTTGTAAATGACTGCTGATCATTGATTACTGATCATTGATTAGTTATTACAAGGAGCTAAATAGAAAATGGATCTTGTCTTAAAACTGATAACCACTGACCTTTGACCTGATGACCTATGACAGTTACTGAGAACACCTGAACACACCTGAGAACACCTGAACACACCTGAACACACCTGAACACACCTGAGAACACCTGAACACACCTGAACACACCTGAACACACCTGAACACACCTGAGAACACCTGAACACACCTGAGAACACCTGAGAACACCTGAGAACACCTGAACACACCTGAGAACTCCTGAGAACACCTGAGAACACCTGAACACACCTGAGAACACCTGAACACACCTGAACACTCCTGAGAACACCTGAGAACACCTGAACACACCTGAGAACACCTGAGAACACCTGAACACACCTGAGAACACCTGAACACACCTGAGAACACCTGAACACACCTGAACACACCTGAACACACCTGAGAACACCTGAACACACCTGAGAACACCTGAACACTCCTGAGAACACCTGAACACACCTGAACACACCTGAACACACCTGAGAACACCTGAGAACACCTGAGAACACCTGAACACACCTGAGAACACCTGAGAACACCTGAACACACCTCCACTACTGTAATAAAAGTATTAATATCTGGTAGCTGATTACCTATAACTGATCACTTATCAATAACTAGCTGCTAAAATGTATTTCTTCTACCTGAGTGTGATCACCTTTTATTACCTTCATATTTGTGTGTTTATATGTTTTTAATGTTTATGTATAAATACAGATAAACACATAAATACACATATAAACATGTTTATATAAGACAGTGAACTGTTTGCTGTAAGAGAATGATTGATCCCTTAGAGATCATTATTACCAACAGACTATTGATAACCGATAAGTGATTAGTAATACCTGACTAATGATAATCAATCACTAATAAGTGACTTGTGATAATTGATTACCTTTAACTTGAACAGTTGACTGATTGTTCTTTACTCATAACTCATAATCAATACTTGGTCACTGATAACAGATTATTGATATCATAGCACTGGTAACTTTCTACTGGTTACTTGTAAATGACTGCTGATCATTGATTACTGATCATTGATTAGTTATTACAAGGAGCTAAATAGAAAATGAATCTTGTCTTAAAACTGATAACCACTGACCTTTGACCTGATGACCTATGACAGTTACTGATAATTGATCACTAATAACCTTTGACTGATCACTGACAACTTTGAATTGTTAACTGATTATTGATTATTGATAACTGGTTTCTGATAATTGACTTATTATTGATTACTGATTGGCTACAACTCTTAGTGTTGTAAACGTTGTTGATCTGTTTGTGGGCGGGGTTTATTACCTCTGTGGGGAAAGTGGTCATGATGTCATCCGTGGAGGAGAAAGTGGTCATGATGTCATCCATGGTGGTCATGTGATCAGAGTCTTTGTTCACGTAGATAATGACCTTGAAGAAACACAGAGACACACGTGTGTTAGAGCGCAGGTGAAGGTCGGAGCTTCACGTTAGAGCGCTCTCAGACTCGGCGCTCTGACACGCTCTGACACGCTCTGACACGCTCTGACACGCTCTGACACGCTCTGACGGTTCGAGAGTCTGTTTGATTTGAACTTCGGTATCTTCTTCGGTGATGATGTCCTTAACTTGAGATGTTCTCTGTTTAGGAGAATCACATGGTCTCCAGCCAATGACGGTGTGATCTGACCTCCTCATGTCTGACAGAGAAAGGTTATCGAAGCGTGTGATGATGACGATGACGAAGGCGAGGAAGGATCGAGCTTTGATCGGTCCGAGTATTTACAGTACTGCAGTACTCAGTGTTTGAGAGAGGGGTCCAGGCTGAAGTAAACGAGTGTAGATCATGTGATGAGAGAAGAGAGGTAAGATGATAAACAGCTAATGATCGAATGATCAGCAGCTAATCAAGTGTCTGACCTGATCAATGACGATATCAGCTGGAGTCATAAAAAACGATCATTCAAACTCCGGAGTTCTTAAAGCGACAGTACGTCTGTGAGCATCAATCAATAAACTGTCAATTAAAGGAGGTATAATTGATAAAGTGTGTGTGTGTGTGTGTGTGTGTGTGTGTGTTCAGGAGGCGCTCAGATACTCACGGTCTGTGTGTTCGCGCCGTCTCTCGCTCTCTGTCCGTTAAACCGCTGAACCTCAGACAAGTCAAAGCAGAAGTCTAACCCAGGGGGCGGGGCTTAGTGACTCAACCTCATTTCACCCTTAAAATAGACCCCCCCAACAAACACACACACACACACACACACAATACACACACACTTACACATATCAAAACACACGTTCACACAGACACGAGTGTTTTTGTGTCGTTGGTTGAATCCTGAAAAAAAAGGCCTTCAGGGTAAAGAGTGTGTGTGTGTGTGTGTGTGTGTGTGTGTGTGTGTGTGTGTGTGTGTGTGTGTGTGTGTGTGTGTGTGTGTGTGTGTTAAATCCATAAATGACATCATAGATATAAAGTAGTGTAGATGTTTCTCTGTCTGTCGGTCCTTCTGTGTTTCTTTAAGTTCTGACAAACTTCAGGTTCTGGTTCTGGTTCTGGTTCAGGTTTTCTTGTGGTCCAGTGTTCAGGCTGATCCGGGTGGTACCTCAGAGTCCGGTCTCTACGTTTCCTGCAGGACTCTTTAGTTCCTGTTCTAAAGGCGGTTTTGTCTGTAATACGGGGACCCTGAGTCCTGAGACCAGAACCATGACTGCAGACTCCTGACCCGGTTCATTCAGAACCATCAGGAGGTCAAAGGTCCAGGTCTCTTCAGTCCATGATGAGGATGGAGGATCCAGGAGGTTTGACCTTTGCTCTGGACTGATTGAGTTATTGATCATTGATATTATTGATATTATATTAAAACTTCATTATTTATTTATTCATCAATAAAAAACTTCAGTTTCAGTTTTTAGACCGAGAATCAAATTTAGAAAATAAACTTTAAAGTAATTTTGATATGATAATGAGTGAGTCTGACGCAGCTCAAAGAAGAACATTAATGATCAATCAGACCGAGACGCTGAAGCAGAAGAACCACGGCGTCTGAAAATGATCAATATGGTGATTATTACTTCAATGATAAAGAAACGATCAATAAAAACTTCAACATGAAATCAGTTTAACTTTAAAATAGTGAGAAGGTGTTCAGAGTGTGTGTGAGTGTGTGTGTGTGTGTGTGAGTGTGTGTGTGTGTGTGAGTGTTTGTGGTTAACCTTGTCATGCAAAGTTTGCGTTGAGAGTACATGTTGTCACGCAATGTGGCAAAGTTTCTCTTTCAGTGTCGTCAGACAAACGCACGCACGCACACACACTCTCTCTCTCTCTCTCTCTCTCTCTCTCTCTCTGTCTGGTCTGAACAGGAAAAAACAGCGTTATGTAACACCATCAGCTGCTGGCGCTGAAACAGTGGTTGTCATGGTAACCGCCTCCTTATGTCAGGTGCCCGACCAACAACAGACTCGTGCCCCGAGTTTCAGCGCCAACAGAAGACGACACGTTTAACTCTGCTGTCACGAACATCACGTGTACGAGAGGATGTTTACAAACAGATGTTAGTCTGACTTCATCAATAAAGTTTCTTTGATTCTTTATTATTTCGATGAAGGGATTTAAACTCTTTATGTTCTGGAGAAGAAGTAGAACTTTTGTATGAAATCTGGTCCAAATGGACTGAGTCTGTGAAACCATCAGACCTGAAGTTCTCTGACGTCCGTCTGTAAACCCTCTTTTACTTTAAGGCTGTTCTGTGGTTCTGAAGGTTTTCAGAACCACAGAACCATGACTGAGTCTGAACTGAACTCATGTGTTCATGATGTTTGTGGTGAAGTTCAGCATTTCTGTCTGTTTACAGTTTTGTTTTTGTTAATAAAGTTTTATAGTTTTTCATTTTGTCTTCTCTTCATTCTCTTCTGTAAAGTTCTAGACAGCACTGGTTCCGGTTCTGACCGTGTTCGGGTCCTTTTTTGTCCTCCAGGTGGCGCCAGCAGCGAGCTGTAGTGCCGTTAGAACCGTAGAAGAAGAAGACGGAGCGGAAGTAAACAGAGCAGGCTGGTGTCGCTGCAGCAGGTCCGTTTTTAACCTTTAATTTATTAAAATATTAAATTTAATATTTTTATTAAACTCTGTTCAGGGCTGTGACGTCACCACGTCCTCTCGGCTGCGCCTCCGTGTGCGTGTGCGTGTTTCCACGGTGAAGAGTGTGTGTGTGAGTGAGTGTGTACACACTCACACACACACACACACGAGTGTTTGTTTCTGATGATCGATAAGTTTGATCATGTTCTGAATGATCTGATCAGATTATTCATGTTAAAGTTAATCTGACATTTGAAAACTGAACAGCTGATCAATGAGGATCAATAATCATCAATAATCATCAATAATCACACACAGGTCTCTTAGATCCGCTGAGTCCTTCTCTGTGAACCGGATCACTGCAGACCCCCGAACCCTCGAACCCCGAACCTCCGAACCCTGGACTCTGGACTCACATGCTGGTCTCTGTCCAGCTGACAGTAGGGGAGACCGGGGTAGGTTGATCCATCCCCGTTTCTTTTAAACGGTCAAATAAATGAATCATGTGACCTTATGGAGATGGTCATCAGTTCAGACGCCTGATTGGTTCCCTGCTGACTCCGCCCTCTGCTCTCCTTTCAGGCGGCGTCTATCCTGCCTGTGATGTCACAGTGATGCGGCGGCGATGTCCTCTTTGGTGCAGCAGTACCGTGACATCAGCCCTGTGACCCTGCAGGTGGTGGGCGGGGCCGTGAGCTCCAGCCTGTACTGTGGCGAAGTGGAGGGTGTGGGTGGCGGTCTGGTGGAGGCCTTCCTGGTGGAGCTGTACCGCTGTAAACTCTGTCAGTTCACCTGCAGCCTCAAGGCCTCCATCAGCAGCCACCTGCTGCTCAGGCACCGCCCACCTACCCTCACCTACCTGGGGGGAGGAGCAGACAGAGAGGGTGAGGCAGATGACGGGGAGGGGGCGGAGCTCCGCAGGGCGCCGTCGCCGTATCAGCTGGACCTGAACGGGGAGACGAAGCAGAGCGAGGAGGACGAAGACTTCCTGCTCTACAACATGCTGGACAACATGTCCCCGCCCACCTGTGACATCAGCAGTGAGGGGGGGCTGCAGGTGGCCCACACCTGTGAGGTGACCACCTGACACACACACACACACACACACACACACACACGACAAAATCATCAGATTCAGAATCGCCTTTATTGTCTTTGTACAACAAGATCTGAGCGCCGCTTCGTTTGACAATTAACGATTCAAATAAAAACACAAAGAAATTAGGAGGCAGTAATACACACAAATACACACAGATACACACAAATACACACAAATACACACAGATACACACAGATACACACAGTAATACACACAGATACACACAAATACACACAGTAATACACACAGATACACACAGATACACACAGATACACACAAATACACACAGTAATACACACAGATACACACAAATACACACAGATACACACAGATACACACAGATACACACAGGTTAGATGTGTTGGGATGTTAAAGGTGTTGTAGTTCAGGATCTGAGGAGAAATCTTGAATGTAAACTCGACCCCTCCAACCAGTTTTCCCCTCAGCTCCTCCTCTCCCCTCAAGCCCCGCCCACAAACAGACGCTCCTGCTCGCTCGTATCGTTCCAGTTAAATTCAGATATAATGCAGATAAATCCTTCAGATCATTACAAATGGGGCCCAGTCAAGGTGAAAGTCAAAAGCATTGGTGCTACTGTAGATGCCAACAGACTACCAGCAAACACAATGTTTGCAGGACTTCTACAACGAGGATAAAGTGACATAGTCCAGGACCCGAGGGAGGACAGTTTAGCGATGGCGCTACAACACGCTACAGCAGGTCCGTTTGACAAGAAACACTTCTGTTACAGACACTTGTCTTACTTTGTTAAAGCGGTTTACCTGTCCAGCAGAAAGGTTACAGGGTCACCAAGATCCCCAAGCGTCCCCCATGGTTTATGTTGACCCGGCTTTTTAGCTCTTGTCCGGTCTACCTCCGTTTTAAGCGCCCGTTATTCCTCCAGAGTCTCCGGTATTTACGTCGTTTTCTTGCTTGTGTCGGCAGTCGTGGCCAAAGGAGGATTCAGACAATTTTCCGAACTTTCTGGTTGGTTTCTACTGTCCGATATTGTAGCACGCTAACTTTGTTTGGGCTCCTGAACGACACGGGGGAGCAGTGTCTGCCTCACAACCAATCAGGTTAGAGGAGGTGGAGAACGGCTTTGTTTACAGTCAGAAAGAGCGGACCGCTCAAAAATGTTCAAATGTTGACGACACAGACAGAAGAGAACACAGAGATATCGATATATTACCAAATAATCAATAACTAATAACTATTGACTGATATTAGAAGATTTTTTGCTTCTTTAACGGTTTCCTGTCTCCTCCACCTTAAAGGTGAGGTGTATCATTCAGGTGAAGCTCCGCCCTCTTTGGTAGCTCTAAGTCTGTTTGTCTCTGAGGTGAAATGCATGCTGGGAACCTCCTCACGACTAACAGATGTTGTTTTTTTCCTCCATCAGGTCAGCACTCTGTTTGAGGAGGAGGAGGAGGAGCAGGAGGAGGAGCGAGGAGAGGAGGCGTCCCTCTTCCCTCTGAAGGCGGGGTCAGGTCTGTCCTGTCCCATAATCCCCTCTGCCTCTCAGGAGGAAATGGCGCAGTCTGCCCACCTCATGACTCTGGGTCTGTGCCGCATCTCAGCCGCCAAACCTCCCCCTCCACCCCCGCCTTCTCTTAGCTCCTCCCAGCATGCCCCTCCTCTTCCCGATGACTCTACCCACCTGTCACTCAGCAGTCTGAGCAGAAGCTCCGCCTCCCCTCAGACGAGGAGGAGGAGCTTATTGTGTTTCCTGTGTCCTCTGAAGCTGCCGTCCCGCCGGTTGCTGGATGTCCATGTTCGCTCTCACTGCGCCGCCGGTGGCTTCAGCTGCGTCTCCTGCGGCGTCACTGCGGACAGCTGGGAGGAGCTGGAACCTCATTGGAGGAGCTGCAGAGGGAGTAGTGGAGGGGGGAGGAGGAAGGCGGGGCAGGATCAGGAGGGGAGGAGGAAGAAGAGGAAGAAGAAGAAGAAGATCAGCTGTCCCACCTGTCTGAAGACCTTTAGAAGCTCCGCCTCCAGAAACGCCCACCAACAAACACACAATGGCTGCAGCAGGCGTCACCGTGACAACAGCTCAGGTGAAAACACCTTCGCCCTTTAAAGCCGCCATGACACAGTAACATCAGCTGGTAACAACATTAATAACAATGTAATTATAAGGCTGATGATTATTAGAATACTGATAATTACAGTGGTAATAACTGACACAGAGAGTTTAACACCTGTAATAACACCTGTTATAACAACTGTTATAACAACTGTAATAACACCTGTAATAACACCTGTTATAACAACTGTAATAACACCTGTAATTACAACTGTAATAACAACTGTAATGACAACTGTTATAACAACTGTAATAACACCTGTAATAACAACTGTTATAACCACTGTAATAACAACTGTAATAACAACTGTAATAACACCTGTTATAACAACTGTAATAACAACTGTAATAACACCTGTAATAACACCTTTAATAACACCTGTAACAACACCTGTAATAACACCTGTAATAACAACTGTAATAACACCTGTAACAACACCTGTTATAACAACTGTAATTACAACTGTTATAACAACTGTAATAACACCTGTAATAACAACTGTAATAACAACTGTAATAACACCTGTTATAACAACTGTAATAACACCTGTTATAACAACTGTAACAACACCTGTTATAACAACTGTAATAACAACTGTAATTACAACTGTAATAACAACTGTAATTACAACTGTAATTACAACTGTCATAAAAACTGTAATTACAACTGTTATAACAACTGTAACACCTGTAATTACAACTGTAATAACAACTGTAATTACAACTGTTATAACAACTGTAATTACAACTGTTATAACAACTGTTATAACACCTGTAATAACAACTGTAATTACAACTGTAATAACAACTGTAATAACAACTGTAATTACAACTGTAATAACAACTGTAATTACAACTGTTATAACAACTGTAACAACACCTGTAATAACACCTGTTATAACAACTGTAATTACAACTGTTATAACAACTGTAATAACACCTGTTATAACACCTGTAATAACACCTGTAACAACAGTGGTAATTACAGTGTGTAAATTAAAGTAGTAAAGCTGTAATATCTGTGGTTTATAAACAGGTTATAACAGGTAATAAAAGGTTATAACAGGTAATAATAGTGGTAATGATACTGGTAATTGGTCGTGTAATTACAGTGGTAATTACCCAGGGCTGAACACGGTTATAATCGTGGTAATAACAGGGATTGTTTCCCTTAGACGGACAGAACCATCGTCTGATTCAACGAGCTGATAGGAAGGAGGCGGGACTTATCCACAGGTAGGTCCCTGACCTTCATTACCTGTAAGAAGCTTTTATTCTGAAAATCCCATCGAAAGTTTCCCTCATTTTTCACAAACAGGAACTTTGATCGTCTTTGTTAAAGTCGTCGGTTCACTTCCTCTTTTTCGTCAAAATAAAGTCAAAAAAGTTGTTTTTATTTTCCCTGTAATGTTTAAAATGACCGATGTGATCAGTTCAGTGTGTGTGTGTGTGTGTGTGTGTGTGTGTGTGTGTGTGTGTGTGTGTGTAGATCTCAGAGCGTCACTGAGGACATGAAGAAAGAAGAGCAGACAGGCTTCTCCTGTTCTATGTGTGACAGGTAACTACATTACCCACAATCCATCTCTCTGAATACTTGAGCGGCTCAGTCAGGTGAGCGTGCTCAGGTAAAGGTGGAGCAGACAGGGGGGCGGAGTTTTCAGGAGTCAGAGGAGGAGCAGGAGAAACTCAGACAGAAATCATTGATACTGTCGGCCACACCCACTGAATGAGGTCATTTTGACCCCTCCCCCACTTTGACCTCCAGGGTCAACCGTCTTCGCTGCATCACTGACCATTAAGCAGACAGGTGTGTAAACTAAAGTAGCGCTCTGATTGGTCTGTGTTTTCTCTCTAACAGGAAGTTCTCCTCCAAACTGACTCTGAGGCGACACCTGGGGGTCCACGAGGGAATCAAACCGTTCACCTGTCAGCACTGTCCCTACAGCAGCCGCCTGAAGGCCTCGCTGAGGCAACACCTGAGGACGCACACAGGTAACAACACACACAGGGAACACACACACAGGTAACAACACACACACACAGGTAACACACACACAGGTAACACACACACACAGGTAACACACACACAGGTAACACACACACACACACGCACACACACACACACAGGTGACACACACACACACACACACACACACACACACACGCACACACACACACACAGGTGACACACACACAGGTAACACACACAGGTAACACACACAGGTAACAACACACACAGGTGACACACACACAGGTAACACACACACAGGTAACAACACACACACAGGTAACAACACACACACAACACACACAGGTAACAACACACACACACACAGGTAACACACACAGGTGACACACACACAGGTAACACACACACAGGTAACAACACACACACAGGTAACACACACACAGGTAACACACACACACACTCTCACACACACACACACACGCACACACACACACACAGGTGACACACACACAAGTAACAACACACACACACACAGGTAACACACACAGGTGACAACACACACACAGGTAACACACACACAGGTAACAACACACACACACAGGTAACACACACACAGGTAACACACACACACACTCTCACACACACACACACACGCACACACACACACACAGGTGACACACACACACACTCTCACACACACACACACACGCACACACACACACACAGGTAACGACACACACAGGTAACAACACACACACACACACACAGGTAACAACACACACACACACAGGTAACACACACAGGTGACACACACACAGGTAACACACACACAGGTAACAACACACACACAGGTAACACACACACACACAGGTAACACGCACACAGGTAACACACACACTCTCACACACACACACACTGACCCCCTCAGGTGTGTGTTTGTGAGTTTCCTCAGTGACTGTAGGAGGTTACCGTAAATCCTCTAATAGAGGTTTTATATTTAGGACCCTCCTCTCTACCTGACCTGAGATCCTGACCTGTGATTGGATGGAATATATCAGGATTAGGATTATATGGGATTATATCAGTGTCAGGATTAGAGCGCACAGAGCAGCTGTGAGCAGCAGAGCGGAGATCTGACGTGGTTGACCTCCTGCTGTACCTGTGTCTGCTCACCTGTGAGGTGTTTATAAAGGGGGCTGATCACAGAGGTGTGTGTGTGTGTGTGTGCGTGTGCGTGTCCAGGTGAGCGTCCGTACAGGTGTGCTGAGTGTGCGTACGCCTCCATCGACCGCAGCTCTCTGCTCAGACACCGCCGCACTCACAGTCAGGAGCGTCCGTACAGGTGTGACCTCTGCGACTACAGCAGGTAACTCAGCTCCACTCTGCACCTGTGACTGTCATCAGCTGGGCGGGACCTTTGGTTTCCACGGTAACACTCTGCCATTTCCTGTCTCAGTATCCAGAAGAAGAGTTTGGACCTCCACGCTCGCCGTCATCACACAGGGGAGGCGTTTCCATGCCAACAGTGCGAATACTCCAGCCCAGACCCCCAGCTGCTGCAGAAGCACACTCGCCGACACCACGCCCCCTCCCAGCATGCCTCACTGATTGGACTGTGAGCCTTCAGGAGTGGGAGGGGCTAGTGAATGGGTACTGATGACATCACACAGTGTGGTGATGATGTCAGAATTATTCTGTTTTTTTATTGGTTGATATTTTTAAACAATAAAGTTTATTTTTGTAAACTTGCTTCTAAGTGGGTGTGTCCTCAGTCATGTGACTCAGCTGGTCCAATCAGAGAGGAGGGTTTTCACAGCTGAGCATCAGGAAGTGGGTTAACGACCCCCCCCCCCAACCAAGCTGATTAACCTAATTACTCTGACCTGGGGGGGTCGACCAATCAGCTTTCAGCAAAAATCATCTTCAGGCTGCACACACACACACACTGAACACACACACACAGACACACACACTGAACACACACACGCACACACACACTGACACACACACACACACACTGAACACACACACACACTGAACACACACACACACACTGAACACACACAGACACACATACACACACACACACACACACACACTAAACACACACACACAGTGTTTACTTTTTTGACTGAATCAAAATCCGGCGGTGGTCTCCGATTGGTCAGTTCACTGGTGGATTTAAAGGGCCGGTACACACTAGTCGTGGTCATGGTGGTCACAGTGTGTAAATGTGTGAACCAATCAGTGATCAGCTGATTGATCCTCTGACTCTGATGGATTATTTGGATTATGATCAGAAAGAGTGACGCCGCCGCCGACGCTCAAAGCTGCTTTAACTTTTCAATCCTGAACTCACAGTCCCACCGAGCGAGCGAGCGAGCGAGCGCACGGACGCCGCTCACCTCCTCTTCTTCTTCTCTGCAGTTTAACGGTCTCCTCTGTCCTCAGACCTTCTTTTGTTTCCTCAGACCTTCTTTTGTTTCCTCAGACCTTCTTTTGTTTCCTCAGACCTTCTTTTGTTTCCTCAGACCTTCTTTTGTTTCCTCAGACCTTCTTTTGTTTCCTCAGACCTTCTTTCTCTCCCTCAGTTTTTCCGTTTCCTCCTCTCTGCAGTTTTCTTCTCCTCTGACTCTTTAAAACGTTTTTTCTTCCCTGATTTTTTCTCTTCTTGTTTTTTTTTTTCCTGTTTTGTTTCTTTTCTTCAGATTTTGCTCGTCCCCTCGTTTCCTTCCTCCTCTTCCTCTCACCTGGTTTTCATTCCTCTTCTTCCTCCTTTCCTCCTCCTCTTCCTCCCGCTCCTGTTCCTTCCTCTCACGGAGACTCACCTGTGAAGTTCAGGTAGACGGGGAGGGGGGGGGCAGTAGTGACCTACAGAGACGGCGGGTGATGTCATCAGGATGTCAGGTGATGATGATGTCAGAGAAGGTGTGTCCGTGGCTCAGGTGTGGGTGGAGCTCCTCTCGGCCGGACAGGTGGAGGTGAGGGCGCGGCTCTCTGACGGGAGCTTCCTGCTGCTCCACCGCACTGATGAAGACTTGGCTGGGATGATGAAGAAGCTGGTGGACGGTTTCCTTGACGACAGGGAGACTCTGTCGTCGAACCTGCTGACAGGTGAGTCAGTATCTGTTGTTAGTGTTGATTCTCTGTCTTCAGTCTCACCTGAACACACAGACTCACACAGGTGTGTGTTTGTGTTCCAGGTCTGCTGAGGGTTCGAGCCGCTGATCAGGTCTCTGATGTTCAGGTGAAAACTGTGGAGCTCAACAAACTGCTGCAGACCATCATCTACCTGCCAACCAAGGTGAGGGGGGCGGGGCTAACGAGTTAACTGATGGATGGACCTGGTCCTGTGGGAATCCGGTACAGACTCTGGTGGTCTGGGTCTCTGGGGTCTCATCTCTAGAACTTGGACTGTAGGAGTGTTCACATGGACTTAAAGGGATATTCCGTCGTCACATTAATTTAGGGTCAAACCCACCGTAACCCCGAGTTAGACCCCGCCCCCTCCAGAGATGAATGTTGTCGACCGCTTCCTTCTCTAGTTATACCAACTTTAGTAACGACCGCAGGATAGAAATACAGAGAGACACGCCCCCAACCAAAACGCCACTCTATAGCCACAGATAATGCTCAGAACAGCACCTAACTTCATCAACAGGACATATAGGGTCACAGACATAGTACTAGACACCAAACATCTTTTTAACTTTGACTCATTTCTTTAGCAAAGAGACTAAACACAACTCACCTACTCTCTTCCAGCAATAATAATAACAATAATTATAATAATAACAATAATAATAATAATAATAATAATAATAATAATAATAATAATAACAATAATAATAATAATAATAATAATAATAATAATAATAATAATAATAACAACAACAACAACAACAACAACAACAACAACAACAACAACAATAATAATAATAATAATAATAATAATAATAATAATAATAATAATAATAATAATAATAATAATAATAATAACAATAATAATTATTATTATTATTATTATTATTATTATTATTATTATTATTATTATTGTTATTATGATTTATTTATTTATTTGTTTGTTTATTTGTTTTTATTTTATTTATTTTATGACTGAATTATTAGTCAGGACTACCGAGTCCTTCAGGACCCCCTGATGATGGACTGAATGTCGGTCTTCTGTTTGACTCCACAGTTCTCTCAGTCCGAGGCGGTCCTGTCCTTCTTTAGACCGTCTGCCAAGGACCAGGTCTTCAGGCAGGTCCAGACCTTCAACAAGGAGACAAACCAGCCTGAGGACCTGAGACAAGTCCAGTCCATCAGACATGAGGACAAGAAAGGACTCAAGTCCTTCAGCCATGAGGACCTCGTAGTCCACCACTCCATTGGACATGAGGACCAAGAACAGTTCCAGTTCATCCAGCATGAGGCAGACCAGGTCACTGGGTCTGAGGACCATGAAAAAACAGAGTCTATGAGACATGAAGACAAAGATCTACAACAGTCCATCCAGTCTGAAGACCAGGACAGTGTGAGGTCTTCAGGACCTGAGGCTCTGGAGGAAGTCCAGACCAGGATGTATGAGGCCCAGGAGGTGGTCCAGCCTTTGGAACCTGAGACCCAGGAAAAGGTTCAGTCCACAAGGCGTGAGGTCCAGACAGAGGTCCAGTCCATTATGCATAAAGTCCCTGAAAGAGACCAGTCTTTGAGACCCGAGGCCCAGGAGGTGGTCCTGTTTATGAGACATGAGATCCAAGACAGAGACCAGCCCAGTCTGCATGAGGAGCAGGATCTGAATGATCTCCTGAGTCCGCTGGTTCTGTCAGGTGGGTTCTGCTGGACCCTCACACATCAAGTCCAGACCTGTCAACACGATCGTCAGCAGGTCCTTCAACAGTCCGATCAGAAAGAAAGTCCTGGGTCTGGTGGATCAGGGGTCTGTGATCAGGTCCAGATCTCAAACCTGAGGGTCCAGTCCGTCCTGTTGAGGTTGGATCTGCTAAGTCCTGGTTTGACCTGAAAGGATCAAGATGGTCTTGGTTAGACCCCTTTGGATCTGATAAGATCTAGTTAAGAGGAGCTAGTTAGACTTGTTGGTCCTGGTTAGTCCCGGTAGTTGGGTCCTGGTTGGGTCTGGATGATCCTGGTCAAATCCACTGAGACATTCTTGGATCGACTAGTCCTGTCTGAATCTCGTTAGTTCTTGTTGGATTTGCTCTGGTCAGATCTGGTTTAATCTGGTTTGACCCGGTAAGTCCCGGTCTAACTAAGTCTGTCTTTTCTTCAGAGATCTGGAGGTCAAACGGTTTCTGTCTCGCCAACACTGAGACCATCTTGATTGACCCGACTCCGCCCATAAACTGTGTCGTCCAATCAGAAGACGTCACAGACAGACGGTAAGCTGAACTCTTGTCCTTAAAAACACAAAGTCCGGTTCGTGTTCCACTTCCTGTTTACTCATAACCACCCCACGTACACACACGTACACACACACACACACTGAACACACAAACACACACGCGTACACGCACACACACGTACACACACACACACACACACACACACACATGCACATTTAGACCTAGAGTGGTGGGTGTGTATAATGTGTATTCAGAGTTGTTTGTAATGTGTTGTGTGTCAGTGATGGAAGATCAGTTCTTTTGACTGAATCTTTAGAATCATTAAAACGATTCGTTCAAAAGATTCGTTCAAAAGATTCGTTCACTGAATCAGTCAGTGTTTCAGAGCCCCGCCCTGTTGCTGCAGTAAAACCAGTGAGTGACACAGCGGCCGCTAAACGAGCGCGAGTCGTTGTTTTTTTATAACGTGGAAAAGTGGCGAGATTAACAATAAATAAAGATGTCAGCTGTAGCGAGGATTCAGAGACTTTAAAGATATCAAATATCGTATTTCTTTAAATCGTCTGAAATTAAATCTTCTTACAGGAAAGTTTAAACACGTGTTTTAATGTAAAGGCGCCATAATGACCTGTTTTATCTCAGTCAACCAACCGCTGCTCAGCAGGAAGTGAACCACGATACACCCCTCCCTCCTCTTCTCTAAAGTCGTTCAGAAGTCGTTCGTTTTGTTCACCATGTCATTCACTGACTGATTCATGTTGTTCATTCGCTGTGAGTGAATCAGAAGACTCCGCCCACTTACTGCCTGTGTGTCGTTCTTCAAAGAGTCAAAGGCGGCAGTTCCACTCCTGACCGTCACGCCAGACTGAGCTCAACTGACCTGAGAAAAGAACCAATCAGGTCTGAGAGTGATTCAGTTCAGGTCGTTCACTCAGCAGCTCTTTTGAACGAA